AAGGGTTTTTCTCCAAGGTTTCGGGATTCCTCTGGCTTTTCAGCCAGTGGCTCAGAATACAGCAACTCAAAAGTCAGTTAGAGTCTGTGGTAGCCAGAAAGTCTGTGGTAGCCAGAAAGAAGGTTAGGAAGCAGCTTGCATTGGGACGTATGGTGGGATCCCCTTGATTCTCCTTCTAGTCCCGATTTTCATTTATCCCCATTGGGGATCGTCCCTAAGAAAGCCCCATATAATTCCATCTGATCCATATTTATCGCACCCCAAAGGCACCTCAGTGAATGATGCTATCCCTCCGGAATTGTTCCGTGAAATATGCATCTTTGGATCAGGCAGTTGAGCTTACCAACAAATTGGAGGAGGTGCCTTGTTGGCATTATGCGATATTGAATCGGCTGTTAGGCTGCTGCCGGTTCACCCTCAAGATTTTAAGTAGTTAGGCTTTAATTGGATGGTCCTTATATGGATAAGGCGATGCCAGTTGGTTGCTCAATAGGCTGTGCAGCACTTGAGTCCTTTAGCGCCTTTCTGGATTGAACATTGCGAGTCAAGACTCTTTTAACTGGGGGTATCGTTATGTGGATTATTTTACTGGCTGGTTCATGTGACACCAGCCTCTGCTTAGCTTACTAGATGCCCCTTTATTCCCTGAGGAGCTGGGTGTTCTGTTGGCAGTGGAGGACAGTGGCTCCTACTGCCCCTTTTAATGTATTTGGGGGCTAGCTGGATACCGTTGCTCAAACATCTGCTTGCCTGTGGAAAAGCTGTTTGCCTTGAAGGATGTTATTCTTGTAATACTTCCTCTGAGGCAAGTGTTGCTTTGTCAGATCCTATCATTCCTAGGTCAGTTAAATTTTGCATGCAGGGTGGTTGCTCCAGGCTGCCCCTTCCATTCCTGCTTGGCCAGGTGGTCTCATGGCCCGGTGTCCCTTCATCATCATGTACAGTGGCCTTGAGCCTGGCAGGGCAAGGCAATCACATGTAACCTAACTTTCTTGAGTTTTCCTCATTGTAGTGTCAGCGCACATCTGGACTGAGGAGTTTAGGGACCGTCAGGTCTGTCTTGGTCTGATAACCAGGCAGTGTGAGAGTCCTGGCAAAACGGTCTTCATGCTCTGGCAGAGTCTTCGCACTGCTTAAGGTTTAATATTGCGTTTCTGCTCACTTTATTTCGGGATCATCTAATGTTTTTGCTGTGGCTCTATCCCGTTTTTTCAGTTGGAGAGCTTCAGATCCTGGGCTCTGGACACCCAGCTATTTTTCTGGAGCTCCTGTGGCACTTGGCGACAATTAATAATTATGAGGAATAGTAGCTTACGTTTCCCCATCCGCTTTCAGGTCTTATGAGAAGGCCTGGACTGATTTCTTAAAATTTAGCTGGTAGTCCTCGGCCATTCAGAGGAACCTGCCCCCATCCTCTGAGCAGGACCTGCAGTAATTCGCCCACCTGCTGCAGATAGGATGCAGTGTTAAAACTATCAGAATTCAGTCCGCTGCAATGTCTGCTAGAGTAAAGCTTTAATTTTCAGAGACCCTTCTAAAAGTGTGTCATGCGCAGGGTCTCGGAAGGTTGGAATAGGCTCTGACCTTCACAGGACAGCAGGCAGGAAGCCGGTCAATCTTTGACCTATGCAGTATCTGCAACAAGTTGAGACTTGTTGGCTGGTTCAAGATCAAGACGAGACTTATTTCAGTATTCCATTGTAATTTTGGTGTACTGAGGGTTGGGGAAATTGTGTTGGAGCCAGCACGGGGCTGAGAGTTTGGAGGCTTATTGCCACAGGACTTTTCCTTATCTGCTTTGGAGCTTGTCATAAGTGTCTGGAGCTCTAAGTCAGACCTAGTGAGCAGGGTTGCCACCATCAGGCTTCCAGTCACAGGTGAGGTGGGCCCTTGCCCTGTTATTGGATACCGGAAATATTTGGCTTTTCGTTCCCCTGGGGGCTGGCTCAATCCTAGTGCACAGAAATGGGTTCCGGTTCGACAGGCATCTAATTGCTCACGTCGTGCGCCAGTTATTGCAGCCTGCGGCTTGCCTACCGCTGAACACGCCTCATTCCTTCCAAATAGGTGCTGCTGCAAAGGCTGCGCATTGGGGCCTGTTAGTAGACAGGATTGTGAATACGGGTCATTGGAAGTCTGACGCTGACAAAGGTTATGTCAGGAAGCATCGCCAATGATGCCTGTGCTGATGCCTGTCTGTTATTCCTTTTTCATAGGAGCAGCTGTGCGCATTTGGATTGTCGGCCACAGCATCATGCACTGAGCTGGCAAGCACCCTGACGAGTCTGGACTGGGGGCGCCATCTCGGCCTTCCTGCCCATGTTTCTAGCTCCAGTCCGCATCTGGATTGTGGGGCACAGCATCGTTTACTGGGCTGGCATCAGAGCTAGGCAGTCTGGAAGGGGACTGGGTCTTGGCCTCCCGCAGCATGTGCAGGTGTTGTGGATGTCCAGGCGCAGAATGCAGTGGAGCGAATTCATCCCGCTAATTAAGCAGAGGGTGCTTCGGATGGCCCCCATGGCAATTGTGGTTCAGCTGGGGGAACGATGTGGCAACTTATGATTGCTTTACTTTGCGCTCCACGATTCAGAGAGACTTGGGTGAATTGGTGACCTTAATACCCACAGTTAAAATATTTTGGTCACAATTGCTGCAAAGGCGCAATTGGCACGGCATTTCTCGACCTGAGGCTGCTGAAAGGGCCAGGAAGCGCATTAATTCTGCAGTGTGTAAGAAGGTGGCGGATTTGGGTGGATTGGTTATTTCCCGCCCGGATATTACCTTCAAGGCTCTGGCCCTTTACCGCAATGATGGAGTACATCTCTCTGTACTGGGGAATGATGTTTGGTTGGATGCGGTAACTGCAAGGTTGAAGGTTGGGTTGGGATTGTGAGTGGTTGGCGGCGAGCGTAAAGGGCTCGATTGGCGGTTAGGCATTGGTTATAAATTGGTGGAGGAGGGGTTAGGATAGGCTGGGCCTGCCCCTCCATGGTTGCTGCGGAAAGGGAATTCCGTTAAAGGAATCCTGGGGCTTGCCATCTTTTCGTCCAATCCCTGGAATGGGACTAGGGCCGGCAAGCCTTCGGGGAGCATGCGGATGAGAATTGAGGGTCTGTGGCCCAGCTCCATTTTTCTCCGACTTGCTTTCCCCCCGCACTGTCTTTCGGTGGTGCCCGGAAGTCAGTTCTGTCCCCAGGCGGGGGGGACAGATAGTCTTAACCAATGCCTAAACAACCACTCACGGTTTTGTATTTAAATAAAGTTGTGGCCAAAATTATGCCAAAAACCTTAAACAAAAATTAAGTGTGCGTTGTGAGTTATTTGGGGGTGGCTTGGGGACCTCGACACGCAAAGCGTGTTCTCCTTCATGGAGAGCACGTGTTGCGGTGGGGTCTGCTGAGCCACCCCTCTGTTACCAGGCAGGGTCTCTAAAGATGGCCTGGGGCAGTGATTGGTTCACTGGGTTGCTGGGGTAAAAGTTATGTTGCAATTTTGGTGGGGGGGTAAAATGTTTAAATACTCTGCACGCAGCCTGGAGCTTTCTCTTTGCTGCGTGCAACGGATCACCCGCCCACCCGCCCTTGAGTAAGGGGTTGTTGCATTGACCTTGCTATGCCTGTCATGGGGTCGTCTGCCGTTGGGGCAGGGGCCTGGTAGGAATTTTGTCCATCTGGCTGATTGGCTGGGCCATTTGGTTTTGCCTACTGCGTAGCAAATCGTCACAACTTGTAAGGTTGTGGTTAGGCATTGGTTATAAATTGGTGGAGGAGGGGTTAGGATAGGCTGGGCCTGCCCCTCCATGGTTGCTGCGGAAAGGGAATTCCGTTAAAGGAATCCTGGGGCTTGCCATCTTTTCGTCCAATCCCTGGAATGGGACTAGGGCCGGCAAGCCTTCGGGGAGCATGCGGATGAGAATTGAGGGTCTGTGGCCCAGCTCCATTTTCTCCGACTTGCTTTCCCCGCACTGTCTTTCGGTGGTGCCCGGAAGTCAGTTCTGTCCCCAGGCGGGGGACAGATAGTCTTAACCAATGCCTAAACAACCACTCACGGTTTTGTATTTAAATAAAGTTGTGGCCAAAATTATGCCAAAAACCTTAAACAAAAATTAAGTGTGCGTTGTGAGTTATTTGGGGGGTGGCTTGGGGACCTCGACACGCAAGTACGTATAATCTACATACAGTGTAGCTCAAAGAAGGGCTGGCCCTATCATGGGTGCTGTGAAAGGGTAGCAGATTGGTAATTGTTTCATTTATTATTATTGTAGTTTTACTGCTAGGGAGCAACCAGGGTATTTGTGGGATTATCTTCCTGAGGTGCTAAAATAACGTGGCTGGCCGCAGGTATTACATATCTGAAAAACTGATGGGAGGAAAAGTTTCTCTAGATCGGGGTAGGCAGCCTAAGGCCCAGGAGCCGGATGCAGCCCAATCGTCTTCTCAATCCGGCCCATGGACAGTCTGGGAATCAGCATGTTTTTACATGAGTAGAATGTGTCCTTTTATTTAAAATGCATCTCTGGGTTATTTGTGGGGCCTGCCTGGTGTTTTTACATGAGTAGAATGTGTGCTTTTATTAAAAATGCATCTCGGGGTTATTTGTGGGGCACAGGAATTTGTTCATTTTTTTCCCTTCAAAATATAGTCCGGCCCACGGCTGGAAAAGGTTGCTGACCCCTGCTCTAGATCACATTATGGACTGGCCTTGGTTCAGAGTATCTCCTATGGCTCCTCTGAAAGGTCTGGCTGCATTTGAACAGCAGTTCATTCAATTCCCCTGATGTTCCCTAACTGCAAATGCCACTTCTGGAAAACTATTGGTATACAGTGTATGTTTAGCATCCATTTCTATGTTATCTAATTCCAGAAAGAATCAGTTTGCAGCCCAGAAGCATAGGGGAGTAGCAATGTTGTCAATTGATGTTTAATAGAATCATAGAATTGTAGAGTTGGAAGGGACCATGAGGGTCATCTAATCTAACCCCTTGCAATGCAGAAATCTTTTACCCCATGTGGGGTTTGAACCCACAACCCTGAGATTAAGAATCTCATGTTGTTGTGTTACAACACGCCCACTGGTGTCAATGAAATTTAGCATGATACACTAGTATATCAGTCAAAAACCTACCGTTCCACAACACAATGAGTACCACAGTGTGAAAGGAACATTAGAAAATGGGACAGAAGCACAAGCATTATAATCAGGAGAAGTAACATAATTTTCATGACGTTTGAATGTACCCTCAGTAAATAATGGCTCAAAAGTTCACATTGTATGAGAGACGATTCACTCTTCCTGCTCAGTACCAGTCTGCACTGGCTCAGCCTCTCTAACGCGTCCCCGTGGCAGCCATTTCGTTTTATGCCACACCATGGCAGCCATTTTGTGACAGGCACCCACAGCACTTTCTCAAAATTCCAAATGTGCCCACTGACCCCCCAAAGGTTAGCGACTGCTGCTCTAAGCCTGCCACTGCACTAGTCTTGATGAGATGCAGTCTTGTTATTTTGCCAAAGTGAGCATACATGCCACAAATCGTGCCTATTTTTGCTTGTGCTTATCATGAGATATATAAATTGGAACACTTGGCAGTCATTTAGCACCCATGCTTCTCCAAGGTAAACAAGAGACTTCACATTTCAGCACAGTTCATTTTTTAACATCAATGCTAGCTAATGACTGCACTTTTGTTTTAACTGGAAGCGTATATAAACCCTGCAGCATTTACATTTTGGCAAAACGTCTCTGAAGAAGCCAGTTTTGGTGGTTTCAGTGATTCCTTTTCCAATGCCAGCCCCACTACTTTCATTCCGAGGCAAATAAATCAACACAGAGATACTTGTAGTTGCATCCAAATGTGCTGCAGGAGCCACTTAAAATGAAGGCCTTTTGATTTTGTCCAATTTCAGTGGAATAGACCACGTGTGAAAATCTCTCCCACTGAATGGAACTAATGCTTCAGATGGGCTTGTTCATTCTGTGAGTGGGAAGAATACCCAGTGTGTCGCATGTTTCCTACCTGTTAGTGACTGGACACTCCTCAATGCCTTCTTTGCCTCAGTCTTCTCCGATAAAGAAAACAATGCCTGACCTGAAGAATTTGGAGCAAATGATTCAGCAGAGGAAACACAGCCCAGAATAACTAAGGAGATAGTACAAGAATACTTGGCTAGTTTAGATGTATTCAAGTCTCCAGGGCCAGATGAACTGCATCCAAGAGTATTAAAAGAACTGGCAGATGTGATCTCAGAAGCACTGGCAGTCATCTTTGAGAATTCCTGGAGAACAGGCGAAGTCCTGGCAGACTGGAGGAGGGCAAATGTTGTCCCTATTTTCAAAAAGGGGAAAGAGAGGACCCAAATAATTACCGCCCAGTCAGTCTGACATCAATACCAGGGAAGATTCTGGAGCAGATCATTAAGCAAACAGTCTGTGAGCACCTAGAAAGGAATGCTGTGATCACCAATAGTCAGCATGGATTTCTGAAAAATAAGTCATGTCAGACTAACCTGATCTCGTTTTTTGACAGAATTACAAGCCTGGTAGATGAAGGGAACGCAGTGGATGTAGCCTACCTTGATTTCAGCAAGGCATTTGACAAGGTGCCCCATGATATTCTTGTAAAGAAGCTGGTAAAATGCGGTCTTGACTATGCTACCACTCAGTGGATTTGTATTTTTTTTTTTTTTTTAAGAATATTTATTCAAGTTTTAAAATTACAAAAAAGAAAGAACAAACAAAACAAGAAAATCAGTCACATACATCTTACAAAAGATACACACCATACAAGGAAAAAAAAGGAAAAAGGAAAAAATACACAAAATCAAAAATCACAATAAAAAATAACAAGAAAAAAGAATTCAAATTTAACAAACCGTTTTCCCATTTACTTATTTCCGTGACTTCCTCTCACTTCTCTGCTTTGTATTCTAATTCAAATTGTATCTCCAGCAAATCCTTCTAACCTTCTTTTCATTCACTTATTTTAACATTTTAACATTCAAAAATATTTAATTCTCCTCTATCCTTTAGTTTACACTTTATATTTACTTAATTCCATTATACTCTGTCTGCCAATACGGTCTAATATTTCTTCTCCAACCTTTCCTAACATTCTTTTATGTTACAGTGATTCTGTAAATATATTTTAAACTTTTTCCAATCTTGTTCCATCAACCCTTCTTCTTGATCTCGAATTCTTCCAGTCATCTCTGCCAGTTCCATATAGTCTATCACTTTTCTCTGCCATTCTTCTCGGGTAGGCAATTCTTGTGTCTTCCAATATTTCCCGATGAGTATTCTTGCTGCTGCTGTCGCATACATAAAAAAAGTTCTATCTTCCCTTCGCACCAATTGGCCGACCATGCCCAAGAGGAAGGCCTCTGGTTTCTTTAAGAAAGTATATTTCAATACCTTTTTAATTCATTGTATATCATTTCCCAGAATGCCTTGATCTTTGGGCACGTCCACCAAAGGTGAAAGAAAGTACCTTCGTTTTCTTTACATTTCCAACATTTATTATCAGGCAAGTGATAAATTTTTGCTAGCTTGACTGGGGTTAAGTACCAGCTGTAAATCATTTTCATTATGTTTTCTCTTAAAGCATTACAAGCCGTAAATTTCATACCTGTGGTCCATAACCGTTCCCAGTCAGCAAACATAATGTTATGCCCAACATCCTGCGCCCATTTAATCATAGCAGATTTAACCATTTCATCCTGTGTATTCCATTTCAGCAGCAAATTATACATTCTTGACAAATTTTTAGTTTTAGGTTCTAACAATTCCGTTTCCAGTTTAGATTTTTCCTCCTGGAAGCCAATCTTTTATCTAAGTTAAAAACCTCCCTTATTTGATAATAATGCAACCAATCTCTGACTTTGGTTTTTAATTTGTCAAAACTCTGCAATTTTAATTTATCTCCAACTTGTTCTAAAATTTCACGATATTTTGGCCAGTTTGTCTCCATATTGGTTTTTTTCAATGCCTTTGCCTCCATTGGTGATAGCCACCTTGGTGTTTTACTTTCCAACAAGTCCTTATATCTCATCCAAACATTAAACAATGCTTTCCTGACAATATGGTTCTTAAAGGCCTTATGCGCTTTAACTTTATCATACCATAAATATGCATGCCATCCAAAAACGTTGTCAAAACCTTCTAAATCCAAAATGTCCACGTTTTCAAGAAGTAGCCAATCTTTCAGCCAGCAAAAGCGGCTGATTCATAGTAAAGTTTAAGATCTGGCAGGGCAAATCCCCTCTTTCCTTTGCATCTGTTAATATCTTAAATTTTATTCTAGGTTTTTGCCCTGCCAGATAAATTTGGAAATGTCTCTTTGCCACCTCTTGAAACAGTCCATTTTGTCCACAATTTGTAATGTTTGAAACAAGAACAACATTCTAGGCAGTACATTCATCTTTATCGCAGCAATTCGGCCAAGCAATGATAACTTCAATTTTGACCATATTTCTAGATCTTTCTTCACCTCTGACCAACATTTTTCATAATTATCTTTAAACAAATTCACTTTTTAGCAGTCATGTTCACCCTAAATATTTCACTTTGTTAACAATTGTTAATCCTGTCTCTTTCTGGAATCTCTCCTTCTCTATCTCTGTAAGATTTTTCTCTAATACCTTGGTTTTCATCTTATTTAATTTAAAACCAGCTACTTGACCAAATTCTTGTATTAATTGTAACACCCAAGTACAGTATATGAAATTGATGAATCAGGAGATAGAATGGAAGATTCAACAGATGAAACAAAAGACCTTCGAATCGGCAAATAAATGTGGGAAGTTTTTGGCCTGGCAAATGAAGAAAAGACAAAAGCTGAATACAATTACAAACTTGGTTGTAGAAGGAAAGAACATACAGAATCCTGGAGAGATTCGGAAGTGCTTTCAGAATTATTTCAAACAGCTATATACGCAGGAGGCTCAGGACAGTAAATCAATATTAAATTTGACTATATCTGATCAAGAAGTGGAAGGAGCCATTCTGAATATGAAATTGGGCAAATCCCCAGGGCCAGACGGACTAACTGCAAAGTATTACAAAACTTTGAAAGAATGGCTATTGCAACCGATGAAAGAACTTTGTAATGAAATACTACGGGGAGGAAAAGCACCCGAGTCGTGGAAAGAAGCGTACATTACACTTATACCAAAAACCGAGGGGGAGAAGACACAGTTGAAGAACTACCGTCCCATATCCCTGCTAAACGTGGATTACAAAATTTTTGCTGAAATTATGGCTAAGAGATTAAAAATGTATTGGTAAAAGAGATTCATAAAGACCAGGCGGGTTTTCTGCCTGGAAGACATCTGTCAGACAACACTAGGAACATCATTAACATTTTGGAAAAACTGCAAGTTAATATTAACACTAAAGCTGTTTTAATATTTGTGGATGCAGAGAAAGCGTTTGATAATATTTCTTGGAGTTTTATGAAGAAAAATTTGCAGGGGATGGGGGTAGGCCAAAGTTTCGAAAATGGTATAGGTGCAATTTACTCGGAACAAAAAGCTAAGCTTATTGTGAACAATGTAGTTACAGAAGAATTTAAGATAGAGAAAGGAACAAGACAGGGTTGCCCAATCTCCCCATTGCTTTTTATATCGGTCCTTGAGGTTCTGCTCAATATGATTAGAAAAGACCAATTGGTTAAAGGTATACAACTCGGAGCTAAACAGTATAAATTGAAAGCTTTTGCTGATGATTTAGTTTTGACAGTACAGGAGCCAGAAGCTAGCACAAAAAGGGCACTCAGTGGATTTG